CTCTCTCTCTCTCTCTCTCTCTCTCTCTCTCTCTCTCTCTCTCTCTCTCTCTCTCTGTCTTTTATTCTTTATTTATATTTTTATTAATTAAATTTGCATGATTTTTACTTACAGGGTGGGATTTATTTTTTCCAATTGATAGATCATTATGCTGCCTCGATATCGATAATGTTTTTAGCCTTCTTTGAAGTAATTGCGATATCTTGGTTTTATGGCGTACGAAGATTGTGCAATAATGTGAAAGAAATGACAGGACGCGTACCATCTTCGTATTTTCGATTTTGTTGGCTCATCGCTGCACCTTTTCTTATCATGGTAAAGTTGATTATAATTTTATTAAAAATAAGCAAAGAACTGAATCATTGTAATAAATTAAATATTAATAATTATTAAAATAATTATTGAAAAAAATTATTAGAATATTTATCATTCGTATCAATTTTCTGCATTTTGGCTTTGACATTATTCAAAATTCTATTATCAAATATATTTCATATTTATTTCGTATTAAAAGATTAAAGCATAATAAAATGTATATCATATAATTATAAAAATGTTATTATCACTCGAAATTAAATTAATCAAGTTCATATTTCATTGTATTAATGTTTAATATTTCAATGCTTATATGTTATCTATTAATATAGCAATTAATTGAGTTTTAATAAATTATGACAAAATTTTGAAAACAATTTTATATGTTTTGAAACAAAGCTATATAAATGATATTTTAGAGATCATTTTTCTCAAAATAATTTGATTATTTTACATATAGATTATTATTTTAAAAAATAAAGTCGTAAATTATATTTTATGACGTACATAAATAAGATATATAAAGTTCTCAATATTTATTTATATATATTATGAATATTAAAACTAGAAATTTTTATTTGTCAATATTTTGATCCTTAAAAAGTAAAATTTGACAACTATTAATTAAATTCTAATAACTAATTAAATTAAATAAATAACTATTAAATTTATTATTTTAAATTGTTTAACTATACTCATATAAATATTTAAATACATATACTTAAATATGAATATAGTTAATAAATATGTATTTAAATATTTGAGGAAAAGTATATTATTACACAAATAAAAAAAAATTTATATAAATGTAAGAAAAAATGAATATTAAAAAGCTCATGCTAATATTAAAATTATTTTATAATAGAAAAAAACAAAATATGTTTATGTTTTGATCGTGAATAATAACAAAAGATAAATAAATCATATTAAATATATTATTCAAGAATAAATAAATTCATAAGCATATTGACAAAATATTCAAAATATTTCTTTCATTTCTAACCTTGTAGGATTTTGAAGGTTATTTCTAAGATATTTCCTAACCTATGAGTCACGATCTTTAAAGAAATCACTACGATTATTTCTATTTTATTTATACAGATAATTTTAGCATGAAAATTTTCATGCATTTATTTATTTTAATATATTTGATCAAAGAATAAATTATATTATATTATGAGTATTGAAAAAATATTAAATATTCTATATCTGCTACAATGTACACTATTATTTTATCATTTTTTCATTAATTCTTATATGTATGCGCGATTTATTGAGGCTGTTTGAAAAAAAATATTACATTTATTTTATCCTATTAAAAATATATTCTTTATAATTATGAGAAAAAAAACTATTCCATAGTTTATTTGACTATTATAAAAGTAGACTGTGTCCTAAAAAATATTAGGAAACACTAACATAACATGGACGAATTCACCTTGACACATACTTTCCTATGACATAATAAAATATGTAAAATATATAACATAGATAATAATAGATACATTAATTAACATTAAAAAATCATTTTTTAAAAAAATATTTACAAATATGAAAGATTTACATATCCTATTACATTAATCATAAGAAACTGCGAAACTTTTTTCTTTTTTTTTTAATTTACTATTTACTATATATACTATATATACTATAAAAAAATAATTGATAATACTTCTAATACGAACATTACATTATCTATTTAATTACGAAAATCAATTTGAAATTGATCGTTTACCACGCATTTCTCACCTATCAATTCACATATCATTATCTCCTTAACATATGATAATAAAACATTATGTGAAAACTAACCGTGATATCGACCGCACACCATATAAATCACTGTTTCAGGCTGTGTGGGTATTCAGTTTAATTGATTATGAACCACCGACCTACCACAATGGTGAGTACAAGTACCCGTGGTGGGCAGAGGCGATCGGCTGGGGAATAGCCTCTCTTTCGCTCATTTGCATTCCCGCTTTCGCTATCTACGAGTTCATCAGAGCCAACGGGAACACTTGTGCAGAGGTACGATAACGCGATCCACCAATTAAAATTTCATTCCACGCGCCATCGCCCCACCATAATTTCCCTACTTTGTCTTTCAGAAATTACGGAACTCTATTAAGCCGCATTTCGAAGCGTGTAAAATTTGCGGCCAAGAATACTGTAACGAGTCCATGCACAATTTCGAAGAGGATATGATTAAAGAACAACAGGACGCGAATAGTCCCATACAATTGAGCATCAGCCCCCCTCTGTCAAAATCCCAGACGTAAAGCTATAAAGTTAATTCGAAAACACGGCTATCTTTTATATATATATATATATGTTTTTGGAAACGAAGATGGAGGATTTAACCGAAAACGTTGGCTAGAATTGATATTTGATTTCTTGCTTTTTATTGTTTAGTATATAATTGTGGTTTAATTATTTGTTAAAAATTAAGCTTTAGAATTCCAAATTTTGTAAATTTGTTACACGAAAATTATAAAAAGTATTTAGAATTAAATATTAAAATCGATATTTAACAATTTTAATTATTAATAAAAAGATATTATCCTTCAATGCTGATGATTTTTTAATATTAAGAGATCATCGAGATCGGAGGAAATTTTTCAATGTTAAATAAAATATAAATAACTTAACATGAGAAAAAATTTTTACAAAAAAGTTATAAATATTTAATTTATGATGTGACGTATCAGTCTACTTGGAATTCTAGAGATTAAGATAAAAGATAAGATAATTTATGATCTTGCAATATTATAATATTTTTTTCATTACGAAATAATAAATACTCGCAATTATTTATGAATATTTTTAAATGCTTAAAATAATGGTTATTTAAAAAAAATTGATTTTATACTATATTCATCGTTATATATAAAAGAAAATTCAAGAACATTTGTGAGAAACTTGGAGCATCCGACGAGGTTTTACGAAAAACAAACTTTATGAATTATATAGAAAAGTAGTATTTTACTCAAATCTACCAACGTCGACGTTATACTATAAAAAACAAATGAAATTTTAATAAGATTACTCCATTAAGGACAAAGTAATATAAATTTTTATGATTATTTATCAATTACCAAGATATATATATATATATATATATCTAAAATTTCAAAAAATTTTTTATTGCAGTAATTATTATTAGATGATCTTGGATTTTTGAAACGCTTTCTAATGCATTGAGCATTAGAATTTTTTAAAAATTTGATTCAAATAAATATCGAATGAAAATCCAATACGCAAAATAGAAGCACAAAAAACATATAAACGATTTATTAAAATCTAATAATTCTTTTCATAATTTTAAAAAAATATAATACAATTATTATATCCATTACTATTAAACTAAAAAAAAAAATTATAAATGAAATACTATATTAATGCAATATTAAACCTTAAAGGAAATTTCTTCCCCCTTTTTTTTTAAATTATTAAAAAATTGAAAATGTAACTCTGAATTATATTTTATAAAAATCGAGGAAAGATATCGAATTACGATATTTAAATATTTTATTATAAATTTTTTATGCGTGTAAAAAGTAAAATAATGTGGTATATTTTATAAAACTAGTAGACAAGGATAATTAAAATAATTCACGCGTACGAAAACATTCGTATACATTTCCCGTTTTTACATTTTAACATTTCATTTTGAAATGGAAATTTTTTTTTCAAATATCCGCAATTAGATCGATATTATGTGTATTGATCGTAAAATTTATTCCACGAAAGATATACGTAATGTGATTAATCAAAAATATTTATAACCATTGCGCACACATTTAAATTTGTCGCATGAATAATTAAAAATGAATCATAATCGTATCGTGAGAATTGTTGCGCATCAACAATTTTTTACTTTAATTATATGTGTTCCGGTATTATTACATATACGTACCTTTAAGTATACTTCGTACATAGATGATTCTAAACATGCTATGATTCTTTTTTAAGTAAAACTAAAGGAAACTGCTAAAGAAAAAAAAAAGATTAAATTTTTATTTTAACCTATATTTTCTATATTTTACAATTATTCCTTTATATTTTGTATATTTTATTTTACACATTTTTATATATGCAAAATAATATACAATCTTTTTCAAAATTCGATTTAATTAATTGAAGTTGATATATTCGAGTATCATTAAATCAAAATAGATACACGAAATAATAAATATTTTAAATTACGTTAATAGAAAATAAAAGATAATACTTAAATATAATCGTCAATTAATTAATAATATTATCTATTGTTGATTCTTTTATTTACTTAAAAAATAATCTGTATTTCGTAATATTTAGAATCATTCTAAATTGTTACATGACGTTGTAAAAGATAAAAATCTTTTGTTAGTTCGATCAAACTGACAACAAATCTAAGGAACAGAAAAATTAAATAATATAATGTTAAGTTAGAATATAGAAATCATTTATAAGGATTAGTTACAACTATCGACAGAAACGAGTCAATGATTCTTTCTTATGTTTTATAAACATAAAGACATTTGATATTTCATTGTACTTCATAATTAGTTCCCATACATGTTTAAAAATAAATAGAAACACTATATTGTTACGTATGAAAAATGACATCATTCGACTAGACATCGTTCATAATATGTACGTGTTATAATATATAGTCAGTTAAAAATATTCATATCCTATTTTATTTTCGTATTCCAAAAGAATTCTGATTTTATTTTATATGTATGCAAATCATGACAAATTATAATATATGGAATAATTTTTTTATCGATAAAAAATTTCTTTAAGAACGAGAAATCGATCACCAAAAGTTTTACATTTTTTAAATTTTGAAAATATTTATTTTATAATTTAAAATTTATTTTGTATCATTACATAAAATTATATTTGAAAAAATAAAAAATGAAATGTTGAGCATTAATCATTAAAATGATATTTCATTAAAAAAAACTTATCATATATGTATAATTTATCCTCTAAATAATTAGAAAGTTTCATTAAAAATAAAAAAAATAATTTTTTTAAATAAAAAAATTATAAATAAATAAATAACATAGGATACGAATACTTTTATAATTGATTAATGAAATGCATACATTGATATGATATCAAAATGCAAACGCATTGGACGGAAGTAGAATGATAATTGTTCGATACATTGCGATTAACGATCGATATAAATTTAGACGAATATGTCATATAATAATGAGTACAAATGCTAATTTCCCGTACTTTTACATTTTATTGGATAAGTAGCACAAATAAAAATGATTGTTACGCAAAGGCAACAAGAAATAGCTGCATAAGCTTGTTAACAACGTGACTGTACACGTGATAAGAATAAAATATCATCAAGTGTGATATACGTCGTATATAAAAGACAATAAGTTAGTGTACAAAATTAAATTGTCAATTAGAAAAAGACATCGAGCACTTTAGATTTGTAATTAATTCAGAATTTTAATAAATTATTTTATTCTCATATTACCTTTTCCTTATTTTATTTTTAAATATATTAATATTCTTCTACTATTATGTCTTATTATTTTATTATGAAGATACGATATTTAATAAAATTGTATAAATATAATTAATAAATGAAAATAATAAAAAAATATTATTGTTTTTTAATTTGTATATTAAATTATATTATGTTTATATTAAATATATATAATATTAAATACAATCTGAATGTGTTTATAATAACAAACACGATTAAAGATTATGAAAATAAAATATGTTTTTTTAAAAATCATTTGAAATTATTTTAATATGAAATTTTATATTTTTTAATACAGAATTTGCTATCATTGCACATACGTAGATTATATTATTTATTAAATATATACCTATAACTTAGTAAAGAATGTTTATAGATAAATTTTATATAATATTTTTTTTTTATTTTCATTATCATTATGTAATATATTTCTGAAATTTTGGCAGAGAAGTATAAAATAAGCCTAAAATTTAAATTAATATTTAAATAGTAACTTACAATATAAAATAATGTAAATTAGAAAAATTGTGTAATTAGCTATATTTCTGAAATTTTATATTATTTGATTGTATAATATATTCATTTGTGTTTCTTTATTATTAAATAATTTTAATATTCAATAATATACATTTCATTTTAAAAATAAATAGAAACACTATATTGTTGACTTTCTGCCATCTTTTAATTATTTAAAAATCCTTTCATAATCATTCTTTTATAAAACTTCTAGTTTTTTAGAAAACTATATATGAATAGAATAGAAAAAGAGAAATGAATTAAATTTTATAATAATTGCACTAATGAAAAAAAATTAAATTAATAAAGATAATTTTAATATGCAAAAAAATGAAATACCACATAGAAAAAAATACCAAAATTACGTTAAAAAAACTATAAAACATGGAATTATTCAGCTTTCTATTATTTTCTTTTTTCTTAAAATTTGATTTCATAATTTATCTTCAAGAAATATATTCAAAAACGATTTAATCTTCACAAAATTGAATAAACTCAATTTTTAAATTTCTTAAATTTCTTTGTTTTTTAATGTCATTAACTGATTTTTTAATTAATTTAGTCACGTAACAATTATTATTATGTAAACATATTTCTTATTAACACCATACTATAAAAATTTAAACTTTGATTATTTTCTTCTCAAAGTTGTTTCTAAAATATTTTATATATCTTCAAAATATATTTGAAAACAATTTCCTTATATAAAAAATATGTAAATTTTATCTAGCTTCATATTTAAAATTATATAAGATTGTTTATATTTGCTAATCAACACAAATCTAATATCTATATGCAAGAAATTGATATGAACTGTAAAATACAATGAAAAGAAATATTTTCTTTTTTTTCTTTTTTTCCTGAAATAAAAAATAATTATTTATTAACGATATATTTTAAATAAAAACTAACGCATCTTATATAAGTCAAAAATCTGTTACCCGATAATTTCTCCCCGATCTCGAGTTAATCCTCATACGTTAAATTGGATTTTTCTAATCCCATTATGAGTCTTCAAGCATTGTTTCACGGTAGAATCGAATCATTCGAGTCTTGTACTATTTGAAGTTCACATCAAAGTATCTAGAAAAACCGAACCATCTCGCTGGCAATAAACTCAAAGTAAAGTCGGCGACATGACAAAGAAATTCGAGTTTAATTGGCGAATCGAAGTGCCAGAATTATTGAGAAATGGTTCAACGTTCGATCGATGGTTTGAAGATAAGGAAACAACCGAATACGAACCCAATTGTTTATTCAAAGTCGATGAATATGGATTCTTCATCTATTGGAAGAGCGATGGCAAGGTATATCCTGAAAAAAAAAAATAAATCCGCTATAGT